AGCCTGGTCCCAAAGCACGGAGGAGGGGGGAGCAGGCGTCTGGGGACTCAGCGTCAGGGGAATCCAGGAGGGGAGGAACCCAGGGGGGCAGAAAGACCCTGCGGAAAAGGAAGGACAGGAAGAGGTGGACCAGCACAAGCCTCTTAAACTGGCGTAGAGGCGGGACTGATTCAGAGGGGACTTCAGCAGTCTAAGCGTAACAGACGTGGGGCTGCGCGCCTCGGCTGTGGAACAAACAATGTACTTCAATAAAGACTTTTGTAAATAAAGTGGACTTGGCGTTGGTCTCTTGTGAGCTGGGACCTGAGGCGGCCCTGACAGCACCTATTAGGATGAGTAGTGCAGAAGGCAGGAATGCCAACAAGAAGAAAACCCAGAGCGACTGATTGTACTTATGCCCCCAGTCCTCGTCTCTGCTGAGTACTACAATGGCAACAGGAATTGAGGAGGAAAAAACTGCCAGGCAGTGGCATCCCCATATCATAAGTGTGAAGGCAGACAGGAAGGGCCTGGCAGAGGGCAGATTGCCGTTTTATCAGTTTTAATTGCACAGCCTGAATTTGGCTCATCTACCCTAATGCAACAGCTCCCACTGGCCAAATGGACCCTTTCTCCACAGTCTATCTCAACACCTGAATGTTTCAGAACTAATGGCTTTGGACAAGGAAACAACTAAGAAAATGAGAGATTGCAATACTAGAAGGATCAGTTCTCTTTTATCTTTATATCATTTTGCTATTCCTTCCTTTCCTTGGTACAGCCTATTAAGGAGAAGCTATCTGCTTCTCCAATATGGAGGTAAGATGGTAGTGAAGGCAGCAGAAACAATATGGGAAATAACTGCTTCAAAATTTTACAACTGGGATAAATCATTACAACTGGGATAAATATTCAGATATATGATTGAGGGAAGGGGGTTATTTCTTTGTAATCCAATAGCTGAGGGTTTTGTGGGGGGGGAAAAACAGTGTATTGCATCACTTCTACTTACCTGGAAGTAGAGGGAGAGTGGGGAAGATAGTGGCAAGGTGGGTGTGAATTAAACACATCAATGGAGCCACTCCAGTGATCCTGCTTGTTTCTTTATACCATGCTGACCTCGCTTCCAACTTGCCTTTCCCCCTCTACCTCCTGTTAAGCAGCAGCAATGTGACCAGTCAGAGGTCAGGTGAGCAGCAGCGCCCCTTCACACTCTGCCACTGCTGTAACCCATCACGGTGCAATGCAGTGGCATGTAAGAAAATGTGTCCTGCAGTTGCTGTGTCTCCTTAATTGCTAGGTACACCCACACCTCCAACTATGCTGGCGTGGTTTTGAAATGGGCTGAAACATCCCACTAAGGTGATATCCACCCTGCATTGTTGAAACTCTCACTATGTGGGCCGTGAGAACTTCAATCAATGATGCTATCAGAATTACAAGAATGGAGCCACTTCTGAATGAATACCACACAAAAATTGCAACAAGTATGATTGATTTTCCGATACTGTGACCAAATATTTACTGTATTTTTCACTCCATAAGATGTACCTGACCATAAGATGCACCTAGTTTTTAGAGGAGGAAAAAAGTAGAAAAATATTATGCACAGAGCGTGTAAGCGGATCTCGATTTTCTTGCTTTAATGCAAGCAAAGCAAGAGCTGCTTACTTGGCTTCTGTTTCCCTTTGCGCAGCTCTCACTTTGCTTGCTCATCCCTTCAGAGGCATCCCTCATATCGCGACTGCAGCCGCTGCCGAGGGATTCCTCTGTCGTCCAGTGCTTTCGCTCCATTAAACGCGCAGACATTTCCCCTTACTTTTTAGGAGTAAAAAAGTGCTTGTTATGGAGCGAAAAATATAATAATAATAATAATAATAATAATAATAATAATAATAATAATAATTTATACCCCACCCATCTGACTGAGTTTCCCCAGCCACTCTGGGTGGCTCCCAATCAGTGTTAAAAATAGTACAGCGTTACATATTAAAAACTTCCCTGAACAGGGCTGCCTTAAGATGTCTTCTGAATGTCAGGTATTTATTTATCTCTTTGACATCTGAAGGGAGGGCGTTCCACAGGGCGGGCGCCACTACCGAGAAGGCCCTCTGTCTGGTTCCCTGTAGCCTCACTTCTCGCAATGAGGGAACCGCCAGAAGGCCCTCGGCGCTGGATCTCAGTGTCCGGGCTGAACGATGGGGGTGGAGACGCTCCTTCAGGTATACAGGGCCGAAGCCGTTTAGGGCTTTAAACACTTTTAATTGTGCTCTGAAACATACTGGGAGCCAATGTAGGTCTTTCAAGAGGTCTGCACCAACACTTTGAATCGTGCTCGGAGAGGTCTGCACCAACACTTTGAATCGTGCTCGGAGACGTACTGGGAGCCAATGCAGATCTCTCAGAACCAGTGTTATGTGGTCCCGGCAGACACTCCCAGTCACCAGTCTAGCTGCCGCATTCTGGATTAATTGCAGTTTCCGGGTCACCTTCAATGGTAGCCCCACGTAGAGCGCGTTGCAGTAGTCCAAGCGTGAGATAACTAGAGCATGCACCACTCTGGCGAGACAGTTCGCGGGCAGGTAGTGTCTTAGCCTGCGTACCAGGTGGAGCTGGTAGACAGCTGCCCTGGACACAGAGTTAACCTGCGCCTCCATGGACAGCTGTGAGTCCAAAATGACTCCCAGGCTGCGCACCTGGTCCTTCAGGGGCACAGTTACTCCATTCAAGACCAGGGAATCCCCCAAACCAACCCGCTCCCTGTCCCCCAAAACAGTGCTTTTGTCTTGTCAGGATTCAACCTCAATCTGTTAGCCACCATCCATCCTCCAACCGCCTCCAGGCACTCACACAGGACCTTCACCGCCTTCACTGGTTCTGATTTAAAGGAGAGGTAGAGCTGGGTGTCATCTGCATACTGATGAACACCCAGTCCAAACCCTCTGATGATCTCTCCCAGCGACTTCATATAGATATTAAAAAGCATGGGGAGAAGACAGAACCCTGAGGCACCCCACAAGTGAGAGCCCAGGGGTCTGAACACTCATCCCCCACCACCATTTTCTGGATACGGCCCAGGAGGAAGGAGCGGAACCACTGTATGATAGTGCCCCCAGCTCCCAGCCCCTCTAGACGGTCCAGAAGGATGTTATGGTTGATGGTGTCAAAGGCCGCTTAGAGATCCAGCAGAACTAGGAAACAGCTCTCACCTTTGTCCCTAGCCCGCCGGAGATCATCAACCAGCACGACGAAGGCAGTTTCAGTCCCATGGTGAGGCCTGAATCCCGATTGGAAGGGATCCAAATGGTCCGCTTCTTCCAGGCATGCTTGGAGTTGTTCAGCAATCACCCGTTCAATCACCTTGCCCAAGAATGGCAGATTTGAGACTGGGCGATAGTTGGCCAAATTGGCCGGGTCTAAAGATGTTTTTTTAAGAAGCGGTTTAATGACCGCCTCTTTCAGCGGGTCTGGGAAGGCTCCCTCACAGAGGGAAGCATTCACCACCCCGCAGAGCCCATCGCGCAGCCCTTCCCGGGTTGCTTTTATCAGCCAGGATGGGCAAGGATCAAGGAGACAGGTGGTCGGTTTCACTTGTCCAAGCAGCCTGTCCACATCCTCGGAGGTAACAGATTGGAATTGATCCCATGTAACAGGACCAGACAGAACTCTAGCACTCCCGCTCTGGCCCTGCTCCCACGGTGGAGTCTACCTCCTTCTGAATCTGAGCAATTTTATCTGCAAAAAACTTTGCAAAAGCATTGCAGGAGATCTTAGGGTCCCTACCAGGCCCCGGTGGTACAGGTGGTTCCGATAGATTATGAACCACCTGAAAAAGTCTCCTGCTGCTGTTTTCTGCAGATGCAATGGAGGCGGCGAAGAAGGCCCTCTTCACCGTCGCCATTGCCACTTGGTAGGCTCGACATTGAGCTCCAGCCCATGTCCGGTCTGATTCAATATGGTATTTCTATGGCACAATCTATGTCCATGGCACCATGCCAATGACCATAATACTGTGAGGCGTCATCAAGAATATCTACCTCCCAGCTCTGTAATAACATTCCTCAACACACCCAATGATTTTTAGATCTAAAGCTTGGCCTTTGTTCACAGGGCCATACATCATCTTCAGAAACAAATGCCCCAAAAAATCTTGAATCCTGATCAGGCTACTCTGGTATTCATAACTGAGGCTATGGAAGAAAGAAATCAGCTAAGATGGGAACTTGAGTCTTTCAGGAGCTAAAAGATAAAGGAGATAGAGTGTGTGTGTGTGTGTGTGTGTGTGTGTGTGTGTGTAAAAGCCTAGTTGTTCCAATCACTCTGGGCAGCTTAGAACATAAAAAACACAGCAACACATCATCAGTTAAAAACTTTCTGATGCAGGGTTGCCTTCAGATGTCTTCAGAAAGTTGTGTGGTTGTTTATCTATTTGACACCTGATAAGAGGGTGTTCAAGCGGGGGGGGGGGCGGTGCTACTGCGGGACAGGCACTAGACCCAGAATCATAGCTGAGTTGGCTGTTTTCGGTAGATCAGTCACTTTTTTCACCAATTCCAGCTGTCTTTTTGTTTTCTCTACTTTTCTTGCTATAGGTTTAAAGGATCTGCATTATAGGGCTCAAATCTTGGAGCCCCCTTTTATAAACATAAAAGAAGTACCACTGTTTTAATACAAGTAATTTATAGACATTACTCTTTCACATGTAATATTATTTCATGTTTAGTTAAATACTCGCCTTCTTGTTATACTCTTCGATTCTGCCTCTACTAGTGCAAGTTGCCCCTGAAGGGGAATTCTGGGTGTATTGCAGGATAGGGCAGGAAAGCACTTGTACGTCTTCAAAAATGTAGGACCTTCTGCACACAAAGCAGGTGTTGAGCTACTGAGCTAGGGACCCTTCCAAATAAATCATATACAATCCAGCACAATTCTGTGTATATCAACTTAGCTTTAATAACATAATTATTAATGCTTCCTATTACAGACACCTTCTCATGAACACTGCAACTATTTTATATGGACTAGTTAGCTTTGTAATGCTTATCAAATCGTTCTGAAAGAGCTCTTAATATATTTCCTGGCCTTTTTTGGTGTTTATCCCGAAGATTTTCAAGTGCAATCTTCGCCTGTTGAAAGAAAACCAGAGGAATACATTGTGTTAGAGGAATAGATTGCAAAATAGGTATTCACAGTTATTAATATCTGTGAGGAAAAAGCTAAAGGGATCAGAACCAGAGGCAACCCATTTATTCCAGCTATAGAAGCACAATATGTGACTTCTTTCTGGGATACACAACTGACTTTGTACACAGAGATGTGTTGCATGAGAGTCCTCGTCTCTCAACTCTCAAAAGTGGCTTCTTCAACATGGAGGTTTGGGCCAGAGCAGCCAGGGTGAGGAACCCCCCACTAGGAAACTGCTCATCTCTCAGTTAATCCAGCCCACTCTCTTTATGTTTACCAAGGGCACTGTATGAGAATGGCAGAGAAACAAACATATGTGCCTTGGGCTGCTTTGTACACAGTAGTTACCTTGCATGGTTGTTACAATGTAGGATAAAAGGAGCGAACCTCAGGACAACCAAGGCATAACCCCTTGCAGAAAGAAATTTCTTATCTGCCCCTTTAAACAGGCAATCAAAACCTGAAACTTGATGCAGCAAGAAAACAAGCAGAAAGTGCTTGGAGAAGGACCAGGCATACTAAACAATGTTCCCCCTGTCCTACCACCAGGACTACATGCTCCTCCCATTAGCCCCCTCCCTTTGGGACTCAGCTTCCCAAGTTTTCCTTGAGGAAGGGGGGAAGTGTAACATCCCCTGCAGGAGCAGGTGGAATAAGTCATGCAATGAAATACCATACAAATGGTATCGGTGTTTGACATTGTATTCAGTGAAACGGCATCTCATATAGGATCTTGCTGATGCATGAGTAATAACAAATGACGATATATGTGTTGTAGGTTCAGAGTTGATATCTTGGTAGATGGTCAGGAATTATGGCACCGTTTAACAAAGCTGTATCCAATGCTCTCTTAAACACGCATCAGTGTGTACATGCAACACATATCAACTTGTACAATAAATTGTCTTCCTCTTCAACCCTCTCCATATCCTCAAAAATTAGCACTACAGTGGCTTGGAGGTACCTTGTTAGGCAGATTCTGGGGCACATAGTGTAGGGTTGTCATATGTTTGGGAAATCCCAGACAGGTCCTTCTGGGGCCATCTGGGGGGGGGGGTTCTTTTTTCCATTTTAAGGAAATATCCGAGTTGGGGGGGGGTAAATTTGTGTGCGCTGTTTCGGGCTCCTACGTGAGTGGCTCTGGTTCTGTTTTGCACATGTGGGCAGTTGAGGTGTGAAGAGGGCAAGCGCCCCCCACAAAAAATCTCAACTTTCTGACCAATGGCCCCAAAGAAGGTCAGCTCAAAAACTTTTTATGCAATTGACCAAAATTTTCATCAGGAGCAATTAGAATAAGATCTATTATTTGATTATTGATATACCGTATTTTTCGCCCTATAGGACGCACTTTTTCCCCCTCCAAAAATGAAGGGGTAATGTGTGTGCGTCCTATGGGGCGAATGCAGGCTTTCGCTAAAGCCTGGAGAGCGACGGGGGTCGGTGCACACCGACCCCTCTCGCTCTCCAGGCTTCAGGAAGCTATCCCCCCAGTCCTGCAAGCTCCGAGAGCAATGGTGAAGCTGCGTGCAACTTCGCCATTGCTATCGGACCCGTTCTGGGGGCTGGGGTCAGGGGAAGCACAGTCTTTCCCCCCCCAGCCCCGCAAACTCCGGGAGCAATGGCGAAGCTGCGTGCAACTTCGCCATCGCTCTGGGACCCGTTCTGGGGGCTGAGGTCGGGGGAAGCTCCGGCTTGCCCTGCCCCCAGCCCCGCAAGCTCCAAGAGCGATGGCGAAGCTCCGCGCAACTTCGCCATCGCTCTTGTACTCTCCAGTCTTCGCGCAGCTCTGCCGAAGCCTGGGTGCAGTGAGCTCAGCGCGCCAAGGCTTCAAGCTTCGTGCAGTTCTCCTCAAGCTGTGGGAGCCTGTGCTGGGCTCCCACGGCTTGCGGAGAGCTGCCTGTTCTGGGGGCTGGGGTCCGGGGAAGCTCGGGCTTCCCCCGCCCCTGCCCCGCGCCTGGGGAAAAAATAATTCCCCCCCTTTATTTCCCCCACAAAAAACTAGGTGCGCCTTATGGGCTGGTGCGTCCTATGGGGCGAAAAATACGGTAAACCTCCAGAATGTATTTTGTATGCTCAACCCTAATATAGTGGGAAGAAGAAATCCCATTGCATGAACAGATCTCTCTTTTTACCACATAGTTTTTTCTCCATTTAATTTAGTCTCAACAAGTTAAGGAGAGGGAAAATTGAGTGATGGGCATAATGCACAAAAGTATATATAATGAACCCTATATCTGGTCATATAGAATGAGGAAATCAATATGTACAATAAAATTTAGAGCTGAAAGAGAAACCAAGAGGAAAAGAAATATTCTGCTTTTAAACTTCCAAGTTTAGAGTTAACTTACTCTTTCAGCCAGCTCTACAGCTGTTATATTTGGATCATATGGGATGGGTTCTCCAATAAATGTCCTCAATTTCACTGGAAAACCTCCGTAAATGGGAAGAAACATACATCGAGTTTTCTCATACAGCCATTTTGTCAGCCCTGTGTATGAAATGGAAGAAGATTCTGAAGGAAAGCGACACCATATCAAATCTGAAATTAGTTGACATTCTCAGTGTTTAGCAATTGCAATAAATAGGAAGAGAGGAAAAGTTAAATAATATGAGTGCTTGGGAAAAGACATACAGTGGTTCCTCGGGTTATGAACACTTCAACTTATGTTTTTTTGGGTTTCGAACAATTGTAACCTGGAAGGAAGTTGTCCAAATTCTTGGAGGACTGGCCACTGCCTGGAGGCAAACCTGGACATTGGCGGGGCCTACAGAGCTCTCAGAGGCCTCTGCGAATGCAGGGCACCAAGCCCTGACGTCCAAGGTGCCTGCAGGGCTCCACAAATGCCAGGAGCCAAGCCCCGACATGCACGGTGCTTAGAGCGGTTCTGCAAATGCCTAGTCCTGACATCCGCAGTGCCTGCAGGGCTCCGCAAATGCCGGGATCCAAACCCCGACATCCACTGTGGCTGCAGAGGCTCTGCGACTGAGCTCCAGCCGCAGGAGCTCTCTGAGGCCTCCATGAATGCCAGAAGCCAAGCCGATTGTGATTGTGGAAAAGGACCCTGAGCCCCCTCCAAACTGAGTATGGAATTTTTTTTTAATTTTTTTCATCTAAAATACCGTCTTATTTATTTTATAGTACAGTACATTGATTATTGCCTTCATTTTATGGATCAATGGTCTCGTGAAACAGTAAAATTTGTGTTAAATTGCTGTTTTAGGGGGTGTTTTTTCATCATCTGGAACGGATCAATCCACTTTCCATTACTTTCAATGGGAAAGTCTGCTTCAGGTTAAGAACGTTTCAGGTTAAGTACAGACTTCCAGAACCAATTAAGTACTTAACCTGAGGTACCACTGTACAAGATATTCAGTCAGCTCTTGTCAGCTCTTTGCAATCAGACATAAGTTGTGTACAATAGCCTGCAGAATATGGTATGTTTCCTGTTCAGTTCCCCTCCATGTTAGGGTTGCTCCCACATTTATCGATTATAGCTTTCTGTCAAATCTAATAGAAAACTAAGCAAGGGCATGTTGACTCAGTACTGAGGGAGGCAGCACAGCTTTTGCAGATAAGTGTACATGGAATAAAATCTATAAGCGAGTAGTAAATAGATATTCTTTTAAAAAGATCATTCAGTATTATTAAAATGTATATTGCCTGAGATCTCTTGATCAACCAAGGTATTTAACTTACTTGTCTTTCCAATGGTCCTGTATGCTTCACAACTGTTTTGTGTAAAAATAGGGATGATGGGCTAAAAAAATAAAAGATGAAACAAACATGAAAAGAAAGGGGAGGGCTGTATAATTATTTTGTCCCAACCATCCTGCCTTTATTTTTGTTATGGACTACGAAGAATGCTTCACATCTGGGATTATAATGAGAAGCAACTCATAAATGTTAATGTAATTGGCTTTAAAATTCCTGGCACATCTATTCAGATATCTCAGATGAAGAAACTTCAGAAGCTGTCCTCCAGATTTTCAGGAATTTAAGGGGGGGGGAGAGAATTTCCTGGTTTGCCCTGAGGGGGAAAGGAAGCCAGGTTCAGCCAACCGGCCGCTGCTTTTTGGGGTTTGGGGGCAGCTCATAGGCAACGAGCACCCTAAAAATGTCTTGGGGATGATCAGGACTCTGAGGGTTCCTGTGGAGGTCAAAAGCGAGTTCCCAATGGGTCTGAGGTTCCATTTGGTGCTGGCCTAACCCGGCTGTCAAGCTGTCATCTCTGGGCTCCAGTGTTTTCCAGCAGCAAGCTGCCTCGATTTTCCTACTCAGCGCGCAGCAGATTTCCCAGAAAATAAAACCAAGGAAAAGGGGATTTATTATTCAAATGTCTTTAGCATTTGGATTAATTTGGCGAACTTCCAGGAGAACAAAAGGAGAGTCTTCTCTGGAATTGGTGACTATCCTGCATTGGAACCAGATGACTGAAGCACTGAAGCAAACAAAGAAACTCTACCATCGGAAATAAAAGGAGGGGGACAGGGGGATAAGAACTTTGAAAAGTTTATTTTGAAAGAAAAAGCATTCAAACTTTTATACTCCTCCCCCCTGGATTCAACTGGCGGCAGCTATAGCATCTCAGGAACTATTGGCAGACAATTTGGCTGGTGATCATGCTTTCAGGGTTAAATCCCCGTATGCTAAGAAGAAAACATTTCCAGGAGATTGTATGGTTCTTTTTTTATTCTAGAAATATCAAAGACTGAGTGCTCCAGACCTATTATGAGAAGGATCTTGAAATAGATGATGACTGGCAGCATTAAGATAAATTCTGCAGTGTAATATGTTTTGATGGATTCAATAATGGAATACTGAATAGTATAGTTTTTGTAAAATATGCAGGGATTTACGATATGTAAAGGGTTTGTTTTAAATCAGTGTTGGGGAGAGCTGTGGCACTCCAGATATCATTTGACCCCCAAACAGGATATTTGCCATCCTCAGCTTTTTTAGATGCTGGATCAAGGATGTCAACATATTACATCTTATCTAGGATAGTCGTGAAGGCAATGCAAATTGCAGAAAGATCACTCACCACTTTCGCCTCCAAAGCTGCCTGAGCAAAACCTTTGCGTTTACCCCACATTATGCCGTAATCGTGACTATACAGTGCTTCTCTACCTCCACCAGGTGCAATGCCCAGTAAACGGCCTTTCTTCATCATTTCCACAATTTCAGCTTTCTTGTAAGATTTCAACCCGAGCACATAATAAAGCATCTGCAGCCCTGAAAAAAATAAGCCCCAAATAGAAGAATGCATTTTATGTGAAACTTATTTAGGAAATAGTGTGGATACAATACAAGTGTCATTATTCCAAAGATATTGCACTATTATGGATCACAAGCATAGCTCTCTGCTAATACATTTCAACTAGGATTTCATGGAGGGGGACTTTATGCTAATTCTTCTTTTGCTCAGTAGGCTTTTTTTGGAAAGCACATTGAGTGGGGTTGAGTGCTGAGGTGGCCACTTTTTAGACATGTGTTCCTCATGTCAATTCTGTAATACATTCAAGTTTGCATTATGATAAAAATACAGCTCAAAGTGCCTTGTTCCACCATCCAAACCTTCAATTCCTTTAGGGTGCAGAGCTTTTGGATGCAGTAGATACACACACGGGGGGGGGGGTACACACATGGCACAGAGGAGATTAAAAAGGTACCCCTGCCCGTACGGGCCAGTCTTGCCAGACTCTAGGGTTGTGCGCCTATCTCACTCAAGAGGCTGGGGGCCAGCGCTGTCCGGAGACACTTCCGGGTCACGTGGCCAGCGTGACAAGCTGCATCTGGCGAGCCAGCACAGCACACGGAACGCCGTTTACCTTCCCGCTAGTAAGTGGTCCCTATTTATCTACTTGCACCTGGGGGTGCTTTCGAACTGCTAGGTTGGCAGGCGCTGGGACCGAACGATGGGAGCGCACCCCGCCGCAGGGATTCGAACCGCCGACCTTTCGATCGGCAAGCCCTAGGCACTGAGGCTTTTACCCACAGCACCACCTGCGTCCCTTCACAGAGGAGATTATGCTGATGGAAAACTGCCTCCACCAGCTGAGATTGGCACACAGATATATGGGTGGAGGTTATATGCTGCATTAATTAGCCTAGTGGAAAAACTCCAAACAGCACTCTGTGCTACTGGGCCTCTTTGGACTCCTTCCTTCAAATGACCTTTCTGTGATGTCATAGTTTCCTGGGGTGGCTGCTGTGTGCATGCAGAGGAAGATGATGTGGGGGGAGTGGAAGTGGAGGGCCATGAACACTACAACAAGGGTGCCACATGTGTTTGATTGCAGTCACATGGGGGCATAAAAGCTGTGTGTGGGAGTGCTTGATTGGCCATGTGTTTGGGTGGGGCCATGTTTTCTGGGATCTATGTGCAGATTTGGTGATAGGTTGGACTTGCTATGAAAGCCACGGACATGTCTTTGGGGCTTCACTTGGGCTTCTGCCCTTTTCCTTAGCTGTAGCTCCCACCCCATCCCAGCTGCCACCCAGTGGTGTTTGAATACAGAGGATTTTGCGCAGGTGGTTTGCTAGTGCAGATGCTCCCAAGCAGAATCCCATACTTTGCGTTGTTCTTTCCAGTAAGGAATATCCCATCTTTACTAATGACAGAACTTTGCAAAACTCTTTGTACTTGAGGAAATCATCAACTTAGACACCCCAAAGCTACACCTTGTCCTGTTCTGGTATTAAAGTGAACAGCAATTATTACATGAGAGCTTGTAGTCATAGCATAGGAATCAGATGACACATTATCCAGATTCCTCAGTTTTTAGATTTCTGGGGAAGAATGTAGACAGAAAAGCATGGCATTTCTTCATGGAGACCATTTCTGCTGACTCAGTTGTGAATTGGAAATAATTATTCATCCTGCATCATTCTCTTTTACTAGCAAAGACTTGGTGCGAAAGTACCTTCATCCGCACTAACTAAACTATTTCACCTGTTGCTGCTATTTTATTTATCAGTTGTTTCTACCTGCTTTCCTGATGTACAGTTTTATATTTTATAGCATTGTTTCATAGCTTATAGCATTGTTTTATGTCATATTTTACATGTTTTATGTAAAAAAGCATGATATAAATTTAAATAATTTACCTGGTATCCAATACGCGACATGATGCATTAATGAAAAGCATGCTCTCCCCGTCTCTAAAAAATATCTAGCCGCAAAAAAGACATAGCCGATAGACATAACTCCATGATGATAAATAATAATCCCTGGTCCTTTAGGGATATGTTCTATACCAGTAAGTTCATAACCTGAAAATAATACGAAATGCAACAAAGAAATATTGCAACCATTACTGGAGGAAATCAGTGTGGTTCAGGAAAAAAAAATAAGATCAGGTTAAAAGCTCTGTTATATGCTTTTGAATTATGGAGTTGGAGGAGACTCTTGAGAGTCCCATGGACTGCAAGAAGATCAAACCTATCCATTCTTAAGGAAAGAGCCCTGAGTGCTCACTGGAAGGACAGATCCTGAAGCTGAGGCTCCAATACTTTGGCTACCTCATGAGAAGAGAAGACTCCCTGGAAAAGACCCTGATGTTGGGAAAGATTGAGGGCACAAGGAGAAGGGGTCGACAGAGGACAAGATGGTTGGACAGTGTTCTCGAAGCTACCAGCATGAGTCTGACTGAACCATGGGAGGCGGTGGAAGACAGGAGTGCCTGGCATGCTCTGGTCCATGGGGTCACAAAGAGTCGAACACGACTAAATGACTAAACATCGATGACAATATGCTCCAGCATTCTGGATGTTAGGTTGTCATCCACATGGATCAAGACTTTCTCTGTGGTGGTCCCTTAATGAATGAATGGATTTCTCCTCTCGTAGAATGTTCCTTCCTTGCTTCCTTTTGAGCACAGGTGATAACATTTTTGCCTAGTCTTTGAGTGAGCTAAAACTGTGTTTTGCTGTTTTAGTCTACTTTAAGCTTTTTTTATGGTTGAGCCCTTGAGACAGTTTAATGTGTTGTTATACTTATACTAAAGTTTTCTGAGACTTTTTTAATTTAAAGAGTAGTATCCCCCTTCTGTATGAGAGCTCTGCAGGGCCTGGAGTATATTTCTTCCCCGTGCCTAAGAGCTCCAACTTCAGACCATTCTCTGAATCACTTTCTACCAAGTGAGAAAGCTGCTTCCTAGACACCCCCCCCCCTTTGACCATGCCCTAAGTAGCTACACGGTCTCATCCTTATGGCCCAAACTTGGTTTTAGTCGTGTGTTTCTGATTTGAGTTTCAACACTTACAGTAACATGAGACCTGTGGGAAGCACTGAGAACATATAAAGAGTCCTATGGATCAGGCCAAAGGCCTCTGTATTAGACCATCATGTTTCCTGCAGTGTCCATCTAAATTAGTAGCCATCACCACATCTTGTGCTGGCAAATTCCGTAGTTTGTGTACATACAGTGGTACCTCGGGTTACAGATGCTTCAGGTTACAGACTCTGCTAACCCAGAAATAGTACCTCAGGTTAAGAACTTTGCTTCAGGATGAGAACAGAAATTTGAGGCAGCCTGCTGCAGGAGTGCATTGGAGTCCAGAGATCACAGTTTGACAGCTAGGTCAGCCCGGCAACAAATGGAACTGCAAACCCGTTGGGAACTCAGTTTTGACCTCCATAGCAACTACAGTGGTACATCAGGTTAAGAGCTTAATTCATTCTGGAGGACCGTTCTTAACCTGAAACTGTTCTTAACCTGAGGTACCACTTTAGCTAATGGGGCCTCCTGCTGCCACCACGCCGCCATGGTGCGATTTCTGTTCTCATCCTGAAGTAAAGTTCTGTAACCTCTGTGAGCGGTAAACAACATTCTCCAGGTTTCTTTTGGAGAAGAAGCATACTTAAAATGTGGTTTAAGTGTATGGTGTTTATGCAGCCACCAGCTGACCCTTTCTTTTGTAATCTGTCTTATTTATTTATTTTATCATTTATTGAATTTATATACCACCCTATACCTGGAGGCCTCAGGGCGGTTCAGAGAACCGCCTTAGTTTCATACTTCATAAAATGCTTTGTTTTTCTTATTACATAAATAAATAGCCATGCCTTTGTTTTGATCCTTATGTAGCCAACCCAAACTTGTAGCTGTTGTGACTCTGAGGGGGGTTCAGAGGTCCAGTTCTGATTCACTGTGGCAACTATTGTTCAGGTGCTTCAAGCCTGAAATTCTGATCCTCAGTCCTATGAAATTATAGTGACTCATAAGGAAGAATTATTGCTATGAAAGAAACTTTTACTCACCATGCCATATCTTTCCATATATATCTATAATATTAGCAAAAAATTTCCTTGGCTTTTTCCAAATTTTGCTATCAGGACCAGTTTCTTGGTGCTTATTCATCTTCATGTAAACATATAGCCCAAATGAGCAAGCACAGCCAACCAAATATATATCTATCATTAATGAACAAAGCAAAATCAGAAGCTTACGAAACCACCAAGGGTGAACCACTGAGCTCAGGTATTCTTCTAAATAAGGAAAACTAATGAAGTTTTGCAACATTTGAGTAAACCAGCTCATTGTTTCCTGATCTTCAGCACTGAGCGTATGCCAATGAAATAAATATATGAAGTGAAATTTTCTTCAGTTGTGATGCTATTTCCCCCACTGTTTACCTGGAAAACAGAAAATGCAGCACATTGGTTTGATCTGTCATCCCAGAAACATTCATGAATACATGAAAATCTCATGCTGCTTAATATTTTCCTAGTTTTCCCCACTGTAACTTGCCAAGTTGCCGTATTGTGTTTCCAACGTCCATCATGGAGACTTCCAAAATTACAAATATATGACTCCATCATTTATCTGTTGTAAAGCAAGCTGGTTTCATTCCACTGCTGAAGGTTTTTGTTTGTTTTGTTTTGTTTTTTGCATTTTCAAAAACAGGAACAGAGAGCATCTTTTATCCAACATAGGCATGATGCCTTGAAGTAAAGTTGAAAGTCTGGCAGGGCAAACCTCCTCTTTCTTTTCATCAATCATAATTTTAAATTTTACTCTGGGATTCATTCCCTGCCATATGAACCTTAAGACTTTTTTCTGCCACTCTATGAAACATCAGATATCATTTATAATTGGAAGGACATTCATTTTGATGGCCAAAACAGTGATAGCTTCATTCTCTCCCATATTTCCAAATCTTTCTTTCCAAGCTTTTACATAGTTGTCTTGATAGATATTATGTTTTTTTATTGTTAACCAAATCCCCAAATATTTTATTTTTGTTTCTATTTCCCACCCACATTCTGATTCAATGTCTTTTTTCTTTGATTATTCTTTAATTTTTTTTAGCAGCATCTTGATTTTCCCTTTATTTTGTTTGCAGCCAGCCAATTATACAAATCTACTTATCCCTTCTGTCACCTCCAGTATCCTCATTCTGGGTTGTTCTAAGGTTAATACAATGTCATCCGCGAATGCTTTCAATTTGTAATTTTGCTGGCCCACTGTTATTCCATTGATTTCATTGTTAATCCTGATCTTTTGAGCCAGTACTTCTAATATTAATATAAATAACAGCGGGGACATTGAGCAACCTTGCCTCATCCCTTTATATATCATACATTTTTCTGATGTGTTGTTTACAATTATATTGGCCCTCTGCTCATTATAGATTGATTTTATACTTTTTATAAAGGTCTCCCCAAACCCCACTGCTGGAGTATTAAGGAAAGTGAGAAAGAGTCACTTCTCCAAGAGCCTGGCAAGGCCCTCTGCAGCCGCAGATATATTATGTGATGTATTGTAATATTGTGGTATTTAGCTGGTAATATATTGTGATGTTATAAACCTGATATCGCCCAGCCCTAAAGCACACTGAAAGACAGACAGCATTTCTCTCTCTCTCTCTCTCTGTCTTTCTCTGCAGACCCCCACACAAGAAGTGACAAATAGCACAACTACTAGCACATTTGCAAACGAAGCAGGGTCCAGTATGGTTTCAAATAGGATGACAGACTTTGATGAGATTCCTGCATTGCAGGGGGTTGACTAGATGACCATTGGAAACCCTTCCAAATCTACACTTTATGATTATCTGAACAAAAACTTTTACTTACATTTCTGGTAAGCCTAAATTGCCTTTGCTTCAGTCACCTCTCTCTGGAAGCAGCAGAAGTCTTGTCTGGTGCGGTGCACTTTTTCGTAGGCTAATTTCCACCCCTATGGAGACATGTCCCTTTATGTGGCAGTTTAAAGAGACTCTGATGGGTGTGCCATCTGAATGAGGAAACAAAGCATTGTGAAAAAAGAGGGAGTGCTTAGAGTGCCTGCTACTTGGAAGTTGTGGCCATTTGTAATTAAGGATAACTGATGAGATCACACAAAAATTCCTTCCAGTAGCACCTTAAAGACCAACTAAGTTAGTTCTTGGTATGAGCTTTCGTGTGCATGCACACTTCTTCAGATACCAAGAAGAAGACACCAAGATATCTGAAGAAGTGTGCATGCACACGGAAGCTCATACCAAGAACTAACTTAGTTGGTCTTTAAGGTGCTACTGGAAGGAATTTTTTTGTTTTGACTATGGCAGACCAACATGGCTACCTATCTGTAACTGTGATGAGATCACATTTACAATAGCAGTCATATTGCACGATAACATATTGGGTCACAGAAAACCAGTTATTGATTAAGGAGCAAAGGTAGGAATTGTGACAAGATATGCATCCTGCAATGCGTAAACCTTAGTAACATGTCATGTTTACAATATTGATTCCTAGCACTGTAAAAGCTCTTCCATTGGACCTGCCATTTAGTTCTACAATTATTTAGTATAATTAGGTCTTTATTGTCCCTCGAGAGACAGCCAAATTTAAATACCAATTTGACACACAGCTGTGAGGCATTTGCGAGCTTTTTTGCCGAGAAGTTATTTTTGCTCCGCCATGACCTCCCTGCCAATTTGGATACAATAAAGGAACTGGAGGCCCCTCGACTGTCCTTGGGCCCAGTATTGGACCACTTCGACCGGATATCCCCAGCTGATGTGGACAGACTCCTCCGAGCTGGAAAGCCCACCACCTGTCCTCTTGACCCGTGCCAGTCTTGGCTGATTAGAGCGTGTCCAGACGAGGTGCGGGCCCCCCTAGGGGATATCATCAATTTGTCCCTTGGCACATGGACATTCCCAGGGGAACTGAAGGAGGCAGTGGTGCACCTGTTCTTAAAGAAAACATCATTAGATCCTTTAGATTTAACCAATTACCGCCCGGTTTTGAATCTTCCGTTCCTGGGTAAGGTGATTGAGAGAGCGGTTGCTGAACAGCTTGGTGGGTTTCTGGATGAAACATCGGCTCTGGATCCATTCCAGTCCGGCTTCCGTGCTGGTCATGGGACCGAGACAGCTCTGGTCACCCTAACAGATGATCTCCGTAGGCAGCTAGATCGAGGCGGGTCGGGGCTGCTGATTCTTCTAGACCTGTCAGCAGCCTTCGACTTGGTCGATCATGAACTCCTGGACCACTGCCTTGCCGACGTGGGGATCCAGGACACAGTCCTTCAATGGCTGTGCTTGTTTCTCTCTGGTCGGGGACAGAGGGTGGCGCTTGGGGGGGAATTGTCATCGCGCCACTCCTTGGTGTGTGGAGTGCCGCAGGGTGCGATACTCTCCCCGATGCTTTTCAACATCTTTATGTGCCCCCTCGCCCAGCTTGTCTGGAGTTTTGGGCTGGGTTGCCATCAGTATGCTGATGACACCCAACTCTATCTTTTGATGGATGGCCTTCCTGACTCGGCCCCAGACACACTGATCAGATGTTTGGATGCTGTGGCTGGATGGTCACGTGGGAACCGGTTGAAGCTAAATCCTTCAAAAACAGAGGTCCTGTGGCTGGGACTGGACTATATGGGATTGGGGGGGGGCAACTCCCATCTCTTGCGGGGGTGCAATTAGTGCCAGCACCGTCCGGTAAGAGTTTGGGTGTAATCTTTGACACCTCCCTTTCCATGGAGGCGCAGATTGCAGCTATAACAAAGGCGGCATTTTTTCATCTCCCCAAGCTAAGCAGTTGGCTCCTTACCTCTCTCACCTTGACCTAGCCACTGTGATCCATGCGACGGTCACCTCCAGACTGGATTATTGTAACTCGGTCTACGTGGGGCTGCCCTTGAGACTGAGCCAGAAACTCCAGCGGGTGCAGAATGCTGCAGCGAGACTCCTTATGGGGTCCTTGCTGCGAGATCACATTCACCCGGTGCTATACCAGCTGCACTGGCTCCAGGTGGAGTACAGGATCAGGTTTAAGGTGCTGGTTTTAACCTTTAAAGCCCTATACGGCTTAGGACCCTCGTACCTACGGGACCGCCTCTCCTGGTATGTCCCACAAAGATACTTACGGTCTTCAAATAAAAACATCTTGAAGGTCCCAGGCCACAGAGAGGTTAGGCTGGCCTCAACTAGAGCCAGGGCTTTTTCGGCTGTGGCTCCGATCTGGTGGAACGCTCTGTCACAAGAGACTAGGGCCCTGTGGGACTTGACATCTTTCCGCAGGGCCTGCAAGACAGAGCTGTTCTACCAGGTCTTTGGGCAGGGCACAGCCTGACTCCCTCCTTCAGCAATCTTTGCGGAGCTGTGGCCCAATGGTTGCCGTTGGTTTGATTTGAGTTAATTTTATAATGAATGATTTTAGAGTGTTTTGTTGTTCTGTTGTTCTGTTTTATTGTTGTTAGCTGCCCTGAGCCAGGCTTCGGCTGGGAAGGGCGGGATATAAATAAATTTTATTATTATTATTATTAATTCAACAGCAGCATGTGTATGTGGATTTCATTAACACCTACTAGGTTTGAATGTTGAATCTCAAGTAATCATCCTCAGTAATCAATCCTACACTAATAAACTTGACCAGCTACTTGTGCTCTAGGCATTGTCTAAGATCTCCAATACCATCTGTTTGATTGTTTGGTTAAATTCTGCCATGCTGATTTTTCTGCAGGCAGCTCATCAAAAAGCTTCTTCACTTGTTGCTCCTGCAGTATGCTTTGCTTTCTCAGGAGCTCCAGAAATTCCAGGTTGACCTGCTTTGACATCAAAGGGTCTCTGGCTTTCGGTACATGTTCAATATTGTCAGGTGGGGGTGGAGGATCCATGTCCAGCATGCATTCGTCAGTTATGTCAGAGCAATACTGTAATCACATACACATATGGTGGCCTTAATGTTTATTTCTAAAAATACATGAAAGTGATATGAAAGTAGCCAAGACAAATGTGCCACAGAAGTCCACCAACCCTTGCAAAGGCTGACTAGGTAAAGGTTCTTTTTGCATGTGGGTGGAGGGAATAAAAAGGCACCTGTTAGGATGGGTAGTGCAGAAGGCAGGAATGCCAACAAGAAGAAAACCCA